CGGGCGCGCTGGCTCCCCGCTGCGGACCGCCCCCCGCAGCTCCACCCACGAGTCCCTCGCCGGCCCCGAGCTAACACCTGTAGGGGTTTAGACATTGCCCCATCGCCCAAAGCCTTCTCCCCTCCTTTGTCGGAAAGGAGCTTAGGCAGGAAGCGGTGATGGAGGAGGCGCTAGGATGAGGTAGTTGGATTGAAGGAGCGGGCTTTGCTCGGCGGCGGCGCTGGGTGGAGGGGAGGGGGTTGTTCCTTTAGAGCTTCACTCTTAGCTGGCCAGGGGAAGTCTAGGCGCGAGCCCCCGGGAAGTTCTGCAGACCCGGGCCTGAGCTCAGGCTTTCCAACACCCACCCGCACCCGCGCCTAGGTATTTTGCAGGGCGACACTTGTAGCCATTCGGGAGAGAAGTCTAGGACTCCCAGACGGCCTCAACCCCCGCGACAGCGGCAGCAGACGGCACTGCAGAGCTGTGCCCGCTCACCACGCTGCCACCCAGTGGTTCCTGCCGACTTTTCATTCCGTGCCAGTTTGGGCGGCCAGAACCCCGATTTTCTTCTGTTGCCCATAAGTCCATCCATTTCTAGTTTGGGGTTCCAAAAGCCTGGGTCGGGGGCCACAGGCAGTATTTGGGAAGTCCTGGTGCAATCTATTTAATCTGGGGCGAGTCTCCAACTCTCCCAATTTCTTTTCTTTTCTGCTCTTGAAACTCGGGCAGCCTCCCTCCCTGAAATTCAGGAATTGAGTCTGGGTTTCTCCTAGCTTCACTCTACTCACAAGTTCTCTTCTTACTTGTTTTCTATTGTAAACAAAGGGAGAATAACGGCTTTTGTGGCCAGGAAGGCAGTAAAGAGGGAATGGTCCATCCCCATGGACATTCTACCTCAAACACACCATTGTTTCCTTGAGCCCACCCCGGGATTGAGCCCAGGGCTAGCACACGATAGGCAAGCCCTAGACTACTCTATTTCTGAGGCCAAACAAGGATTTGCAAATTGCGAATAGCTCTGTCTTAGAGCTGCCACTACACTCCTTCCTACACTTTCCTTACTGGATTCCTCCTCCTTTGCAGTTCTTTTCAGAAGTGATGTAGATATGAAACTAAATGCACAGCTTATCCCCTAGACGGCAACTCTCTTTTCTTGCCTGACCTTCCAACAAGCTCGGGTTCAGAAACATCGAAACTCTAGCATCAGGGAAACTATCAGGCTTCTTAGTTCTGTAGATTTTCTTGCTTCACGGTGGATGCTGCTGCTACCTTCCTTCCACTCCTCCCCAGTCCTGAAAATGTGTGTCTAGGAGGAAGCCTGGGTGGGGTGCAAGCTGCAGGAGGCTGAGAAATTTCCCCACCTACTCTTTTGTGCCCTCCCCACAAGGAATGCATCCAACTTAAAATTCCCTGGTCTGCTCCCGTCAGAACTAGGCTGCCTTGATAGTTGGGACTGTGTCTTGTTCACCACTATATTCTCACCTCCTGGCAGAGATCTCATCATATAATTTATGCTCAGTAAAAAGTTTGTTCAAGATAATTGACGAATGGCTGATTTATATTGATTCTGAAGGGAAGGAGATGTTTCCTGTCTTGGAATGTGAGCAATCACTGGTTAAATTCCAGGAACCAGGAAGGAGAAAATATGACCAAAAGAGGGATCAGAAGCTCTGATGAAGGTGGGATGTTTGGGATGTGGGATGGAGAGTTTAGAGATCCTTGCTTACTATGCCTATTTTTACCATCTGCTAAACACCTACCCCAAGGGCCCTGGTTGTCCTACTCTTACTTCTCTTTAGGGACCCTGAACCAGAGAAGCTTCCCTACCCCAAAACAGACAAAGGATGAAGTTCTTATGAAGGAAAGGGAAAGCCTTTCGAAACAATGAGGGGATGGTATTGAAGAAAGGAAGAGGGCTTGTTTACATTCCTTTTGCCTCTGCTCTGCTTCTCTTCTGGGAGAGCTCTCACAAAATGTTCAATCAAACACCATCCATATGGTATTTTCAGATACCATGGAGAAATACTGCTATGGCCACTTGAAGCTGGATATAATAGGGAAACAGCCCAAGAGGATATTTTGGGAATTCTCAGGACAAAGGTTTTTAGCATTACAAAGTTGCAAACAAAAGTATGTAAATCTATCATCTCAAGTCCCAACTCCTTATGTAGCATTACATTTTTTTTCCAGTACCAAGGAAAGAACTCAGGACCTTGCACTTGCCAGGAAGGTGCAGTGCCACTGATCTAAATGCTTGGCCAACAACATTTTTTTGATAGGAAAATAAAATCTATAATATAAGCTCATGTAACCAACTAGTGGGCCAAACTGGCAACTTGATGATTCCACATGTGTTTGCATATGCCTTTCTTGCTCTAAATCTTCTCTCCCCAATTATGTTTTATTGAATTTCTTTTTAACTCATATATAAAAGCATAAAAATAATACATATTAATGAGTACCATGTGATGTTTCAGTACATGTGTACCTTATGTAATGTTTAAGTCAGGTTAAATATATCTCCTCAAACATTTAGCATTTCTTTATTGTGGAAATGTGAAATGCTTTAGCTTCTTGAAATGAACTGTATGTTATCATTATCTGTAGCGAACCTACTGTACAATAGCACATCAGAGCTTCTTCCTCCCATCTAACTGAAACTTCATACCCATTGATCAGCTTCTCCCCAATGAACTTTTATAATCCTGAAAATAGGAAGAATATAGGGGTTACCAGACATGGTAACCAAAAGGTACTTCTGCTTTTTTGTATCCCCCTCTTGTTCTTCCTTCTCCATGGGCAGGAAAATATATGACAGGTTGTTGATAAAACTAGAGAAGAAGGCCTCTAACTTTCTGTGATGTTTGCCTATAAACCACATGCATTGCCCTCTCTCTCCCACTAAAAGAATTTCACAGAGGCTGTGACGCAGGGTAAATTCAATCCAGGGCAGAATGTGAAGTAAGACCATTCTGAATGTGAATCTATCCAAATCATATTATCCAATCAGCTTAAGCATTAATAAAGCACACATTTTCGAGCTTTTCTCTCATGTCTATTTCCCAGGTGCTTAGCAACTCCGAAGAAGAGTGTGAATATCACTTTCAAACCCTCAAAGGGGAACTGTGCCAAGTTCCTGTATCTCATGAAGGCATAATGAGAGAGAATGGCAGTCCCCTCTGGAGAAGCCTATTTTGCCTTTCTTTCTATCCCATTGTCATCTCAGAATGGCATTAGACTTGAGTGGCATTTTAATGGGAGGAAGATTAAAGAATTTGCTTTTCACACCTATTTCCAAAAACGTTTCCCTCCTATCTTATTTTATTCCTAGCAATTCTGCTATGGAATTTCTCGATCTCCTCCAGATTCATCACATTTCAATGATCTGCTTAACCTCTGGGGTTCCAACTGCTCTAGGCTCAGTGATCTACTGTCTTTTGTTCCTCTTAGACATCTTCTCCTCCATCACGCTGCCCACCAACAACTCTCCTTGACCATATTCTGAAAGGATACATTCTTAGTTCCTTTCTCCAAATCCACACACACCCAAAGTTATCTAACCCAGCTGGCAGGAGGCATATGTTGTAATCCTGTTATTCCTTCTGCTGTGGTCTGTTTTCCTACTTTTAAAGTAATTACGTAGACAATATTGGAGGCTTTCAAATTGCATTCTGCATCACCCCAAAAGTAATAGCCATAAGCTCCCTCCCAAATGTTTCAACTATAGCACTTTTGCTTACATTTATATACTGTGGCTGATTGTATGATTTCTAATAAAAATAAAAAGACTTTACTACTTAAAAGCAAAATGTTTGAAAACATCTAGATGAGTTGTTCCTTAAAGTTCTTTTGGCTCCGGAAGTCTCTGATTATTTTGTATATGACCGTGTTCCTCCTACCTCTTTGTCTTTTTCTCCTCATACTCCTCATGTCTCTATTCCTTTCCCACCCCACCAGAATATAACATCTAAATTGGTTTCCAAAGAAAACTTCAAAAGTCCCCCATTTGGCTCTATTCCTGTGAGTTCACTTGAGAACCAGTTTCTTTTCAGAGAGTTCTGTGAGTTATCAGAGCATGCAATGCTGACCTTTCTCTGCTGATCTCTTTTGGCAGGTCTCAGATGAGCTGTAAGAAGCTGAGGGGACCTGCTTTCAAGAGGCATCTCCAAGAGAGAGACAGAAACCCAAACGGACGTGACTGTGATGAGGAGAAAACAAGAACATTCAGGCAGCCTAATCAGGAGCAGACTCAGTACCTTTTGAGCAGGAAGGAATTGGCTGTCTTTCTAAAACTCTGAAAATAAGAAATTTCAGACACTCTCCCTTCGCGAAGATAAACATAAT